CAGGAACTGGAATTTCAGGGCCAGGCATGTTCAGGAACTGGAATTTCAGGGCCAGGCGTGTTCAGGAACTGGAATGACAGCCCCAGGGTTCAGAATATTTTTTTCCCTGTTTTCCTCCTCTAAAAAGTAGGTGCGCCTTATGGTCAGGTGTGTCTTATGGAGCGAAAAATACGGTATGTTCTGACTCTATGGCAAAAACATGGCAAAATTGTTATTTTGCAAAAGCCAGGTTTCTTACTATAGTGTTTTTTCCTTTAAAAAATACAGCAATATAACCAAGAAATCACTGACTTGAATCAGCCGGTATTGGTAAGTCAGCCTAAAAGGAAGGCAGGCCCTGGAGGTAACATCGTTGGGCCAGCAATTCTCATTCCTGAGCTCTGCTTTCTCACAGGTATGTTTGTTTAGCTTCACTATCATGTAACCTGCATAAAATTTCTCCTACTGGTGTATCACAATATGGATGATTCTTGATATACAGGCAATATGGATTACTGTCAGTATAGGACCACAATTTAAAATCATATACTATGCAAATAAAAATGTTAAACATTTTGACCTTAGGTTAAAACACCCCCATAATTGATGTGACACACATTTAGCAGTGAGGGACTTTCATACAAATCCTGCATACTCATGTATCTGGCAGATGGATGATGATGAAATAGCTGTGTATAGTACATGAATCTTGTTAAATATGCCCACTGTCTATCACCAGTGACAGGTATAGAACTATTTTTTTTATATTTAGGACTAACTGATAAAATGCGAAGTGATTTCAATGTGATGAAAGACTTAGCTGTGCATACAAGACTTGCACCAGAGCAAAGAATGCGTGAAGTGGGAAGGCTTATTGATTACATCAACAAGTATGCTACTTAAATTCTTTTTTGGGGATGGTGGGCTTTTCCTTTCTCATTATCCCTTCCATTGCTGCCTCTCAACCTTCATTTTTATAATTAAACAGAGATGATAATGTCCAGAAAGAACTTCGTGACTGGGGTTTGAGCTTTGAACCCAATTTGCTTTCCTTTTCTGCAAGAGTTGTTCAGTCAGAAAAGATCCTTCAAGGAGGAAAAACAGTGAGTAATTTGTGCCTTGAGTTAACGGGAAGTGCAATGGTCACTTCCAGACTGGATTATTGTAATTCTCTCTACATGGGGCTGCCCTTGACTCTGCTCCAGAAGTTGCAGCTAGCGCAGAACGCAGTGGTGTGGGGTTTGATGTTGTTGCCTGTGCGGGCACACATCCACCTGATGTTGGATAATCTGCACTGGCTGCCTATCGAATACCGGATCTGTTTCAAGGGGTTGGTGCTTACCTTTAAAACCCTGTAGGGCCAGGGGCCTGCATATCTTTGAGATCACCTCTCCCCATATGAGCCATGTAGAACATTGCATTATACTAACCAGCATCTCCTAATAGTCCCTGGCCCTAGGGATGTCTGACTTGCCTCAACTAGGGCCAGGGCTTTCTCGGCCCTGGCCCCTGTCTGGTGGAATGAGCTACCTTATGAGATCAGTGTCCTATGGGACCTATTAAAATTCCACGGGGGCCTGTAAGATGGAGCTCTTCCACCAGGCATTTAATTGAGGCAGCGGGCATCCACTTCATTTTGGTTCCCCTCCAGTGACCATAGATCCTAGAAGCTAACTGGGACCACAGCATCGCAGGAATTAATTTATGTCTATTGAGGCACGTTGTTTGTTTTTGAGTGCTATGATCTTATTTTACTGGATTTATGAAATATGTATTTATTGTAAATTTGCACTAGTTGCAGATCTGTATGTCTGGAACCTTCCCTGAGCTTACAATGTGGGGAGGGCGGGATAGAAGTCTAATAAAATTAAAAATAACAATTTAAAAAATAACTAGAATGAGTTATTTACCAATGAGGAAAGGAAATCAGTGAGAGGCTTACCTTTGTTCTTTGAAGATATTTAATTCAGAACTTTTTAAATTTATAGTTTGAATACAATCCACAATTTGCAGACTGGTCTAAAGAAATGAGGGGTGCATCTCTCATCAGTGTAAAGCCACTGGAAAACTGGTTGTTGATATACACAAGGCGTAATTATGATGCTGCTAATACACTGGTTCAGAATCTCTTCAAAGTCACACCAGCTATGGGCATACAGATGAACAAGGCCATAATGTAAGTACTGTAGAAACCAAGTTGCTTGGAAACGGTGGCTGTCTTTCTAGAAATGTCTTTGAAAGAAGGACAATGTTGAGAAGGTTCTAGAACTATCACTTAGGTGTTTTTCCAATGAAAGAACTGAACTGCTTTTTTTCTGTCTAGAGATATCTGTGGAATTAGTGGGTATTAAATATTATGAATCTGTGGATTGGACACACACATTTGCATCCAGGTCACAAGGACTGGATCTAGCATTGCCTTTTGGCTCTTAGTTTTGAATGAAAGGGACTAAGACAATTCTATGGCCTTCCTTTGTAGGATAGAAGTAGAGGACCGAACTGAAGCATACTTGAAAGCCTTGAAGCAAAAAGTGGCCTCCGACACACAGATGGTATGTACTGAAAGACTGAAAGTTGTAAATCTGAAGTGTTTCATTCTTTAAACCATACTGAAGGAACAGTTCTTGAATTTAGTTGTCTGGGTTAATTTATTTGAACAGGAAGGGCTGTGGGGCAGAAGACAATTCTTTAAACCCCTTGGAGAACAGCTATCAGAGGGAGTGTATCAAAATGAATTGGTTGGCACCCTGACCTGGATAGCCCAGGCAAGCCTGATCTTGTCAGATTTCGGAAGCTAAGCAGGGCCAACCTTGGGAAATGTTTGGATGGGAGACCTCCAAAAAGTACCAGGGCTGGGAGGCACAGGCAGGTTCTCAAGCCACTTCTCTGAACGTCCTCCATGCCCCAGTAAGAGTTGCCAGAGGTTGCCATGACTTCCATGCATGGGCAAACACACACACAAATGCAAAAAAACCAACAACCCCAAAAGCAAAATAATTGGTTGGCAAACACCCGCTGGATCCCCGTGGGTGTCACAATGATCAAGTGGTGGAGATAGCGTAGTCAGAATGGACTCAGTAAGGTGCTTTCCTGGCTTCTAGTTGATTGTTGACAAAGGGGCAGATTAATGGCTTTTATAGTACCACTTAAATGCTTTTTGTGTCTGTTTAAGCTAAGAAAAAAATACACTAAATTGTTCATGAATATGTTATTAGAGCCTGGGTGCTGAAAATGAATATCCTTGATATAGGCTTGCTTGAGTACTTTTGACTGGAGTGGAGTTGTGGTATGAGAGGCTGGGGTTAATGTTGAACTTGTACTTTTTGAACACTGAGGTGAAGATAAACACCTACCTGCAAAAATGGCCCAAAGATTGCAGATCAGGTCTGTGTTCTTAGTTTGCAGTCTTAGGTAGGCAGAAGTCCAATTCACACAGAGATGTGGGACAGCTGACAGAACACAGTATTTTGCTAGTGGCAGCTGATTAACTGGTGTCCTATAAGTAGCCTTCAGTGAGGAAGACTGGGTGAGAAAGATTGGAAAGACTTAAAAAGATAACCCTCCCCGGTGTCTTGCAGTAGCACAGAGGAAATTCAGGCGACGAGCTGGGTAACTATTATTGAATTAAGAGACAGCCTGATAGTCACTTGCTAGAAGAAAAGGAATGAGTCAGCTAGGATTCCCAAGGGGGAATTCAGCTCAGAAAAAATGGCATATAAACTAGAATTACCTAAAATAGTGGATTTGTTTCTGATAAATGCAGTTTTAGAAGACACTACTGGGGGAGAACCTGTTGGTTTTTTCCACCTAGCAGTGCTGCAAGGGTATACATCCTCCAGTTGGTAATGCCTTACAAAAGGAGAGGCAGTTGCCCTGGTGGCCACACTACAGATCTCCTGTAGGGGCAAGTGTTTGTGGAAAGAACAGGAGACATGTAGTATCTTTGGTGGAATTAGTGATAACACCCAAAGAAGCTATAAGACGTTGGGTTTCATAAGCCACAAAGATGCAAACTTATCCACCTGCCACTAAGGAACTTCAATAACATCTTCCATTTAATAACATCTTCTGTTTTTTCCTGAGCAGTACAAGGTTTTCGAGGATATGTTTGTTTAAATGTGAATAATTCTGGCAACAATTAAAATGCTACAATGGGTTTATAGTTATTAAAAGAGTTCAGTGTTAAAGTGCTTAACTTTTCCCTTGCCCTGACATGGATAGCCCAATCTTGTCAGATCTCAGAAGCTAAGCAGGGTCAACTGTGGGAGACATCAAGTGGTAAACATCAAGATACATCTGCTAGGGAAGCATAGGGTGTAGCAGTTTGCAGCCTTCTCTCCAGTATTGGGTGTATTTGCAGCTTTGTTTATAGAAAACTAAGGCAGCTATACTTAAATGTCGTAAGTATGCCAATTAGTCTAACTTTATACGCTAAGTTGAGGCTTTGTGGGAAAGGTAAACTGTAAATGTAGTAAAATGAATTTTTAAATTTGTTATTAAATTAAAATACGTTTAGGTTTTATATATTTCAATTTCCCCCAAAATTTCTGGGTTTCTCCCCCACGAAGGGTAGAGGGGACCTGGGTTTGGGGAACCTTATACCTCTCTGTGAAACTTGTGTCTTGCCTGGGGTGCAGCGGGCTGTCAGTGCATTGTCTGAAGAGGATGGAGAGAGCAGGGAGAGATGTAGGCTATTGTTCTAGAAAAGAGAATGAAGCTCTAAAGAGGACCTTTGGCACAAAGCAGGCCAGGGCATGGGTGTGTGTTGGGGAGGCAATTAATTTGCATAAGGGGTGCTTGTGGCCTAGTGGAAAACACCTGGCTCAAACAAGGTAAAAAGGCGACTTTGAGGTGCTTTTTAACAGTAATACTGAAGGGTATTTTTCCCCCTTTGTTAAAGGTGGTTTGCCTTCTGTCTAGTAACCGCAAGGACAAGTATGATGCAATCAAAAAGTACTTGTGTTCGGATTGTCCGACTCCAAGCCAGTGTGTACTTGCGCGCACTTTAAGCAAGCCCCAGACAGTAATGGCCATAGCCACAAAGATTGCTTTACAGATGAACTGCAAGATGGGTGGAGAACTCTGGAGTGTCGAGATACCAGTAAGTGGCTCTCATTTGACTTCTGTGGTGCGTTCAGCTTGGCAACACTATCACAAAACCTTTAAATATTTTATATGGTTAGGTTAATGTATTTGTCCCCAGACCATGACAGGTCCCACCAGGTGACTTAGGATGATCTCTGTCCAGTTGCTCCCATTAAAGCCTACCTCACAGGGTTGTTCTGAGGGTACAATGGAGGCGAGGAAAACAATGTCTCATGCCTCTGCAAGGAGATCTGAGGGAAGGAGTTCAACTGTTGAGGAAAGTTCCCCTTGGAGGCAGCCCTTGGATGGATTTCTCTCTGAAGTAGAGACAGGAGCTCCAGTCACAGCAGTCACTGCTGAGCAGGATTTACAAGGAGCCGGCATGCCTGGAAATTAGCTTGTTTGAGCTGCCTTTGCTGCAACGACGTCTCAGCACCAAAAGCGCACCAAAAAAGAAGGCGTCATTCCTTCCAGCAGCCAGATCTTGTGGTGCCGTGTCTGAGCCCGCTGCTGCTGATGACCTTGTCAACCAATCAAGAGGAGGCTGCGGAGTGGCTACCTACTTCCATAAGTCATATAAATGCTGCAGGACACAGCAATTATCATCTAAGCCAACTTTTGGCTCAACAAGCTGCAGTGTTAACCAGTTCCTGTTTAGCAGTAGTGAGACCAGTCTACTCATGAGTAATGCTCAGGGAGCAGGTTCTCTCCAGTGTTTTCCCTCCGAATTATGACATTATTCAGACCAACACCAATGTGGTGGATTGCTGGGCTAGTATGTGGGAGACCCAGGTTCGAATCCCCACTTGTGCCATGGGAGCTCGTCGGGTGGACTTGGGCCAGCCCTGTTCTCTCAGACTAACCCACCTCGCAGGGCTGCTGTGAGAGTTAAATGCAGGAGAGGAGAAGGGACGAGATTGTTAACTTCATCAGAGTGAAGGCGCCAGACGCAGGTTGCTGCCCACTGATCTCCCCCGTTTCTGCCTCTCTTTAGGTTGATGCTCCCTCCCCATTCTGTTTTCTTTCCCTCCTACTCCAGAGACAAAAGAGGACGTGTCCTCCTGCTCAGGCAAACTTTTAAAAAGCCAGAGAGAGCATAAGAAGGAATCAGTAAATAGAAAGGATTAGGGAATTCTCTGCTCCCAAATGTGTCAGTCTTGCATGTGTGGGCCAGGATTTCCCCCTCCCTTCCCTTTTTGCAGAATTACGGAGGGAGGGAGAGGTTGGGTTTTGATAGATGTTTGCCATTCTCTTCATCTTAAACAAAGCAGCCAGTTAGCTCAAAAAATGCGGGTTTGGCTTGTAGATGCAGAATGCATACAGGATATACAAATAAATAAACCGGGGGGGGGGACAGTACAGAAGGAATGCGTGCAGCTGCAAAGTCAAACCTTAAGGCTTGACTCCTCAAATTTCCTGGAGCAAGCTGTCATTGCAGAGAGGGCCTTATTCCGCTTATCCCAGCCTGCAACGGTTGCATGGTGGCAAGAATCAATGGAACCCCCAAAACCACCTCATTCACAGTGTATGCAACACTGGATGCCTTTAAAAATGTTCATCCATGGCCATGGCATCTGGAACAACTGCCAGTAGAACTTGTGGCTCCAAGCCTGGCAAGCTGACATCCACGTCAAGTCTACAGTTGCAGCTTACCCATGTCAAGGGGGCAAACTATTTGGGGATGCCCTCGACAAAAGTACCAGAAAGAGGTCTTCGCCCTTGATGTGTTTTACCAAGTTTCAACGACAACAGGAGAACAGATTGGGGATCCTCTAGATAGTTGAGAAAAATAATTCAAGTCTCACCTTAGAATTTGCCTTAATTAATTTGCTACAGTAGAATTATTGCAGAAGGCCACTAATAAAACAGAGAGGCCTTTAGATCAAATGCAGTAATAAGGAAAAACATTGGATAAACCTTAAACACTGGCGAATGCTCCACAGCTCCCTCTGGGGTACAGGTGGAGGAAACTATTCTTTCAGTAATATCCACAGTAACAAAACTCCTGTAGGTTGTTGCTTCCTCAAAAGACAGCATGTGCACTATTTCACCACGTTTCATTTTGTTAGAAGGGTCCAAGTCTCATTTTCCTGAAGTGATGGTATCTCTTCTGCTGCTGTCTCTCCATTTTCTGGATTCTTTTTCAGGCAACATAGATATATCTTCCCGAGACAAGGGCTCGGTTTTAGCTATATAGGATAGTCTATGAGGTGGTATGCTGTCAGGTGCTCGGGTTGAATGTCTGAGGGCTGTGACTTTGCTTAGTCCTCTTTCCTGTTGAAACCCTGACAAGTCTGTTCTGAATTCCACTATTGCTTCACTTGATCTTGGTAATGAGTTTTCTTTAATTTCAGATTGCACCATTTAGGCCTCATCAAAGTATACTGCACCACTTTTTACAACCTTGTCTGTCTTCAGGATAGAATGCTGTACTGTTCAGCGTGATCACTGTAACCTGCCAGTTTCTTTTCTGCGGCTCTATTGCCTAGCCTTGAGTGTTGTTTTTCACTGGGAATGGAGGCATGGGCTTGCCATCTGAACACCCTGATGTGCTTGATGCTTGACTTCGATCTATAGCATAATTTCTATGGAGTACTGTCTCTTATCTTGGTCATAATCGTTTTTGTAGACATGTTGCCGTCATTGCTTCAGCACCAGTGTTTATTTAGCATCCCAGCATCCAGAAGCAAGCATCTGGCCATTTCAACTAGGTGCAGTTCTTCCTTTCTGTTGTTCTGTTCGTTCAGGTGTATATAGCATGGTTGTCTGGTGCTCTATACCCTGTTCCCTTAGGTACTGCTCCACTTCCTTACTTGTATTCTCCCTGCTTCCCTTTTGGAACTTATTGCTGGCTGCGGCCACAAACTCTTGGGAGTTTCCCAACCATTTCACTCTTGTTTCAGGAGGTACGTAACAGTGTACTTGAAATAGTCACCGATCAAAGTAATCAGCTATTGTTTCCTCCTGGTGTAACATTTATCATGAGTCCACGAACATCACTATACACTATCAGTAGGGGTCATGTAGGCTTACTTTCACTGCCTTTAGGAAGTGAGATGAATAGCCTCGCCCTTACGCAGCATGTATACGTCATATATGTTTGACATGACATTATCATCTTGTCCTAGGTGTCAGTGTCACAGGTGGATGCATTTGCTGTGACAAACTTGTGTCGCTGTTCTAGCCTCCTTATTGTTAGGTGAAGCTTATACAGATGCTCCTTATTAATCTCACGTTGGTTTCTTAAAATTTCACTATGAGACCGTTGCTGTTGAGATGCTCCATTCCTGGAACATGCAGGATTTTCTCACAAGGAGTTATGTGTTCCATTTAGATGGGCCATAGCACATTAAGAATCCATGCCTGATTCCTTCTGTGGTAATGGACTTCACATTTTCAAGGAGGATCTTCTCTTTTATTGGTGAGATAAAGATCCAAATAGTACTTCCTAGTTGCTTGTCATGTGCCTTGTAACATCTGATTCACTATATCATCCACTTGATGTGTTGCTCTGCATAGCCTTTAGACATCCACTCTGTTCTTAATCTACAGATTCATTTGCAGCTTTCATAGCCTTTCCTTTGGTCCTGCCACATTTCCATGGTCTCAGTCACTCCAAGCGCCCACACATTCATTGATTCTCAAGGGCTCTGACCTAAAGATCCACTACAACTACATAGATTTCCATCATAGAAATTTCATGCCACACTGTTTGCCCTTACTGGGCACTCCTTTGAGCCTATTGAAGAGATTCTTCTTAGATGGCTAAGAAGGATAGTCTTATTTCAGTTGACATCAACAAGGATGGTGTCTGAATTAGGCGCCTTGTTGGTCTATCCTGAGCTGTGTGTGTGCATAAGAACAAAGCGGTCATGAGGACTGATCCTGCCTTTAAGCTGACTTCATCCTGTCACAGATCCCAGGAGATTGGCCTTCCAACTTTTTGTCTGAATCTTATTCATCCTAAAAAGACTTGTTCATTCTAATTGTCTCCTAAGGAGCCCTGCTATGCAGGAAAGGGTGGGGCTTTAAGCCTATGACTTACACTAGATTAATTTAAGATGTCTAAATTGGCCATCAGCAATATCTTCAAGGCTTGCATTACTGAAGCCTGTAAAGTCAATTCAATAAATAAATAAGGCATTTTAACTGGAATTACCATTCATTCACTTTGAAGTAGTGCAGCCAACATGGTCTTTGACAGACATGCCCCAGTTGAAAAGGTATGCAAGAGGTCACCTGGTCAATGATTTCCACCTCCGTAAAACACTACAAGATGAACATCTTTGAAGCAGGATGCAGGAAGCTTCTATGTCTTAAGACCAGCTGGTGGGCTTTCCCAGAGACATCTGGTTGGTCACCATAGTTCTTGACACCGTAAGATGCAGAGTTCTTGACTAGGTACACCATTGGTCTGAACCCATAATGGTGCTCTTATGAAAATGCCATAAAGTACCTTGGCAGCACTGGGTTTTTTATGCGACTATCAAAGATTTAAACGAGATACTTTGGCATTTTAAATAAAATTTGTGATAATATCCAAATAGCTTGCAGCCTTGAACTGAGTTTGAAAAGAGCCTGTTCATAAATGGACATATGTTATGTACATGCATACCAACAGTAATATGTGCGGGGAATAAGTATGTGGAAAATTGCTGTTTTAAAACTTGTGGCTTATTCTTGGCTTCTCTAATGCGTTCTTCCTTTAAGTTGACACAACTCATGATAGTGGGAATTGACTGTTACCATGACACTACAAGTGGCCGACGATCAATTGCAGGATTTGTTGCTAGCCTGAATCGGGGAATTACACGGTAAGGTAACTTCTGAGTGAGAGAGTGGTCCTTCCAGTCCTCAAGAGCTATCTTGAACATGTTTTCTTAATTGAAATACACTGTAAGGCCTTTAAGTCCTTGGTCTTCAATGAATCCCTTGCAGACTTGTCCTTATCATATCTCACACTGGCCTATTCGAAGCACACAATGAATTTGCTGTTTCTGCCTTACTGATTAAGTTGTGGTTACCTGATGGTACACAGTAATAAGCTTCTGCCTTACTGATTAAGTTGTGGTTACATGATGTTGCCATAATTGAATTTAGCAGGTACACAGTAATAAACAGAGGCTACATCTACACAGGAAGAGTGTGAAAATACGGCAGCAGCCAGCATCATGGGAGTGGGTAGAAGTGATAGCCACGCATCCCATGCCACATGCTGCCATTCACCCTTCCTGGGTAGAAGTGATAGCCACGCATCCCATCCCCATGCCACATGCTGCCATTCACCCTTTCCTCCATTGCATCTGTGCATAGACCTGATAGTGACTACCAGGGTACCTCTGCTGCCCAGAACCTCCCTTTTGACCTCTGTGTCCCAGCTGAACCACACTGCAAAAGTACAGTGAGGAGAAAAGCTATGTAGGAAGCTAAACGGGAGTAGGAGGAAGGCAGAACTTAGCTCCACTATCCTTATAGTGGCTGCAGGTGGAGGGCTTACATGGACACTCTACCATTAAAGGAGGCTTTTCATTGACATGGTTTAAAGGGGAAAACCTGGAAAGTAGCTATAGGTACTGGCACGTGTATTTATTTATTTATTTATTGAGATTTTTACCCCGCCCTCCCTGCGGAGCGGGCTCAGGGTGTCTTACAAGGGGCAAAACCCATATAAAACAGATAAAAACAATAAAACATTAATAACAGTTGTACTCAATTTAAAAACAAGATGGTCTCCGAATACGTGCCAGATGGTAAACAGACAGTTCTCCAGGGATGATGTTAACCTATAGCGTATCCTAACCAGGTAAATCCAGTGGTATCAGTCATGCAGAAATTGTGGTGGATCTTCCCAGGCCTTCCTTAACCCTGATGTTGTCCACCGCATTGGTGGCGGTGGTAGTGGTAGTGGCGGCCCCTATGTGAAAGCCTGGCGGAAGAGCTCCGTCTTACAGGCCCTGCAGAACTGCATAAGGTCCCGCGGGGCCCTGATCTCCGGGAGCTCATTCCACCAGGTAGGGGCTGCCACTGAAAAGGATCTGGCCCTAGTCATGGCGAGCCTTGCCTCCCAGGGGCCTGGAACCACCAGGCGATGTTGTGCCCCGGACTGAAGTGCTCTTGGGGGTATATGTGGGGAAAGGTGGTCCCTCAGGTAAGTCGGGCCATGTAGGGCTTTAAAGGTAAGTACCAGCACTTTGAAGCGGATTCGGTATGCTATTGGCAGCCAGTGCAGCGCTTTCAGTCCAGGCTGGATGTGCTCCCACTTGGGGAGGCCCATCATCAGCCTGGCCGCCGGATCTGCCCCAAAGGCAGCCCCATGTAGAGAGCGTTACAGTTGTCTAACCTTGAGGTGACCGTCGCATGGATCACTGTAGTCAGGTCATCGCGGCCGAGGAAGGGAACCAACTGCCGAATCAGCCTAAGATGATAAAATGCCGATCTGGCAGTGGCTGCCACCTGAGCCTCCATAGTTAAGGAGGGGTCCAGGAGCACTCCCAAATTCCTAACCTCGG